CCTCTCTCTCTCTCTCTCTCTCTCTCTATTTTTTTAAATCATGAACAAGTATTATTGTGGAAATGAGAAAAAAATAATCGGTACGCTGTGGTCTCCCGGGCTGCAGTAGCATGGAAGCTTCAAGACATCCCTGTGAGATGTGTAAGAATGAGGAGTAGGCGGTTCTCAGTTAACGCCAGTGTGACAACACTGGCAGAAATGTCTCAGCAGGCCTTCCGACTCCCTGCCGTCTGTCCAGAATTGTACAGAACAAAACTCCTTACCATGAACTAATAACAGGAAATTCTGAAATCTGTGGAGATAAGCACAGAAGAGAATATTCTTTTTTTAAAAAAAAGAAAGAGACAAGAGACCTCTGAGCCAGAGGCTTGGGAAGGGCCTGTGTCACAGGCTGGTCAGTCTCAGGGACTGGCCCGGCTGGTCTCTGGCTCTGCGAGATGGACTCCCTAGGCAGATGGAGACTCGCTGGGAAGGAAATGAGCCTTTCCTGGGGTTTATGTACATGCGGTGCTGCTGGAGGGACAGACTTTTAAAAGGCCGCACTGTTAGGTTCCCCTCGTGGTCTGGAATAGCAGGTGATAATGAGGGTACCAAATGAGAGCTCCGATGCCCTTGGCACTATTGGGGTTCCCTCTTGTAGCCCTTTATGTGGGGCCTTCCTAGGTTTCCAGCAAGCTCTGGTGGCTGGGACCTTAAAAACGGATGTAGAGGGTGAAAAACAACCGGGGCCTTCATTTAGGAAAAGTCAGCCCCATTGCTTTATCTCCTTGGGACAGTGGTGTTCCTCAGGGTTTTTCCTTTGTACGTGAGACAAGAGTGATGTCCGGTTGTGGCATTTCAAATTCTTACTATTTCTTCAGTAGCTCTTTGCATCCTAGAATTTCTCCTTTGTGAGAAGGGTTCTGACACCCAGTTTTCACCCCTTCTACCCTGGGACCCCCTCCCTTGGCCTGCTAGAAGCCATGACCCCTGCTCTAAGGAGACCAGGAATGCTCTGTCAGCCCTGAACTCCCCCTTTTACCCACCCTAGTAGACCACAGTCCCTCACCTCAGGCCCCTCCGGGACTTGGGCGTGTCCCAGCTTCTGTTATTCAGCCGTTACATCAGTTTCCCTGATGGTGGCATCTTGTGGCTACCCACCGATGAGTGGGGCCTGGAGTCGCCCAGACCTTGGATGGAGGGCGTGGAGCAGGCCCATCCCATAATATGATTTGACTCAGTGTTGGCCCAGTTCTTGATAGGGAGCCGGGCCATGCTGCTGGAAGCCCCCAGGCTGGCACACTCTCCTCCCTTCTTGCTTGTTCCACTTGCTTTCACTGCGCTTTTCACCCCGTGCTGGAAACCAATAAACCTTTTCCAGGCCAGGGGCTCTGGTGCTGAACAAGGTAGACCTAGTCACGGAGCTCCTGGTCCAATAATATAGAAGTTCTCAGCCCTGCTGAGAGTTTTGTTTTTTGTTTTGTTTTTTTTTAATGCAGGTATCTGGGCCCCACCACTGATGGTTCTTGCATGGTAGCAGCACCACATCAGAGTCTAGGCATCCGTAGCTTGTTTTTTTTTTGTTGTTTTTTTTTTTTTTTTTTTTTTTTTTTTATGATAGTCACAGAGAGAGAGAGAGAGAGGCAGAGACACAGGCAGAGGGAGAAGCAGGCTCCATGCACCGGGAGCCCGACGTGGGATTCGATCCCGGGTCTCCAGGATCGCGCCCTGGGCCAAAGGCAGGTGCCAAACCGCTGTGCCACCCAGGGATCCCCATCCGTAGCTTGTTAAAGCTGCTCTGTTGCCTCCTGCGCATGACCAAGGGTACAGCCTGGCTGTGGAGTCTGGGACGTCCGAGATCAGCGTCCTGGTAGCTTCAGTGTCTGGGGAGGGCTCACTTCCTAGTTCATAGATGGGCATTTTCTCGTTGTGTCCTCACATGGTAGAAAGGGTAAGGGAGCTCTCTGAGGGCTTGTTGTAAGGTGCTAACCCCATAACCTAATCACCTCACAGAGGCCCCCACCTCTGAATACCACACACGGTGGGTTAGGACCTCAGCCTATGAATTTGGGGGAGACGAAACATTCAGTTTGCTGCACTGCCGTGTGCTGAGCACTGTCTCTGTGGGGAGCATCATCTGAGCCCTTTCTATGAGTTGTCTGCATCTATGTCTAGTTTAATCCTCACAGTGATGCTGAGAACTGGATAAAATGGGTCCTGGCTCACCGGTTAGGGAACTAAGTAAGATACAGAGAGGCAACTTTTCAATGGGCACTCCACTTACCAACGTAGAACCCAGGGGCTCCTGGGTGGCTCAACCAATTAAGCATCTGCCTTCGGCATGGGTCATGATCCCAGGGCGGGGTCCTAGGATCCAGCCCTACATCAGGCTCCCAACTTGGTGGGGCATCTGCTTCCCCCTCTCTGCCTGCTTGTTCTCTCTCTCTTTCTCTCTCTCAAATAAATGAAATCTTTTTAAAAAGACCAAAAAAACAAAACCCCACAAATGTAGAACCCAGATTTAAAGCAGGGCCAGCCAACTTTCAAGCCAGCCTCTTAGCCCTTACTGCTATGCCACTGACCATTCTTCTCTCCTGTTTCTTGGGCCCATATTCCCAACCTCCTTCCTGAATGCCTTCTCCTGGGGGTCCCCCAGGCGCTTCAGACTTCCCGTATCCAATAGTGAGCCTATCAGCTCTTCCCCAGACCTTGCTTCTCCTGTGCTCTTAAGTGGTGAAAGATGCTGCCATTGACCAGCTGCTCTACGTGGAGCTTGTTCATCTCCTCCCGTCTCATACCCTCTCTACTACCACAGGATAAATCTGGTTCCCTACACCTTTAGTTTAGATCTGAATTTCCTCCCCACTTCTCCTTCAGCCTCATTAGCTGATTGTTTGCTTACTGGGCCATCGGCAGTAACCTCCTCACTGGTCTTTGGCTTCTCTTCTCTCCCACTTCTGATCTGATCCACACATACAGGCAACTGAGTTCTCATCCTAAAGATGTTACCTGATGGCTCTGGGTGGCCTATGAAGAAAAATCCTGTCCCAGCCTTTAGGCATTTTCTCTCAAGCTGGCCCCTGCCCTTCTATCCAGCGTTTCTGCTGACACTGCATACCCTGGGCTCTGCCATGCTGATTTTCTCACCGTGCCCCAGATGTCCTGTGCTCACTCTCACTTTTATGTCTCTACCTATGCCCCTCTGCTGGCCAGAATCACTTTTCTCTCTCAGGTCCACCTTGCAAACCTCTCTGCATGCCTCAGGACCACCTGTAAACCTCACCTCTTCAGGGGCACCTGAGAGGCTCAGTCAGTTAAGCATCTGACTCTTGGTCTCAGCTCAGGTCTTGATCTTGGGGTCTTGAGTTCAAGCCCCACATTGGGCTCCACACTGAGCATGGAGCCTACTTTAAAAACACAAAAACAACCCTAACCTCTTGAAACTTCTCTGGTTCCCCTGGCTAGTTGGCAGTGGCTCTTCTGTGCTCCTGCAACACAGTTGTCTTCTAGAATTGTTGTTAGCCTCCAAAAGACCAGGAGCCTCCTGAGACAGAGACCTCATTTGGTTCCTGAATCCATAGCAGTGTGCACCAGAGCACAGGCTAAGTACCCAGTAGGCGCCTGCTGAAGATCAATTATTGGGACCTGGCTTAGGCCTGAGCATGGCCTGTTTTCCTTCTGCTCAGACGGGCACACAGCCCCAGTAGACTCTGGTGGCACTTTGGGTCTGCCACCCAAAGGTGTTGACAGATAAAACAAATCACAAAAGTATCCACAAGCATAAGAAAAGGATGGGATAGCGAGTTGGAGTTCTAGTCGAGAGGCAAGTCAAATCTGAGGGCAGCAGTATCCAGTCACTTGTTTTTTTGGGTTTTTTTTTTTTTAAGATTTTCTTTATTTATTCATTAGAGACACAGAGAGAGAGAGGCAAAGATGTAGGCAGAGGAAGAAGCAGGATCCCCGAGGGGAGCCTGATGCGGGACTCGATCCCAGGACCCTAGGATCACTACCTGAGCCAAAGGCAGATGCTCAACCACCGAGCCACCCAGTGTCCCTCCCAGTTGCTTTTGGATTTATGAGAACCGAATATAGATTACCAATGCTTCATAACAATAGGATTGGTTAAAAAAAAAAAAAAACGTAAATAAAACTCGATTCTAGTTTAAACAGTAGCCACTAACATTGAGAGCTGCAAAGTTTGACCTGGGAAAACTGAACTGTTGGGTGTGATGCCTGCCAAAAAATAATTCGAAAAGGCCAAAGCTATTACTGGGAAATTTTTTTAAAACCTTTTTTTTTTTAATTTTTTTATTTATGATAGTTACAGAGAGAGAGAGAGAGGCAGAGACACAGGCAGAGGGAGAAGCAGGCTCCATGCACCGGGAGCCCGATGTGGGATTCGATCCCGGGTCTCCAGGATCGTGCCCTGGGCCAAAGGCAGGCGCCAAACCGCTGCGCCACCCAGGGATCCCTATTACTGGGAAATTTTAATGCAAACCAAAAAGTAATCTGTGAGTCAAATCCTCACTGTAGTATTTACATAGCAAAGAATGGACTCAATGAAAACTATTTGACTAGCTAGCAAATCATCAGGAACATGGGGTGCCTGGGTGGCTCAGTTGACTAAGCATCTGCCATCAGCTCAGGTCATGATCCCAGGGTCCTGGGATCAAGCCCTGAGTCGGGCTCCCCAACTCATCAGGGAGCCTGCTTCTCCTTCTGCCCCTACCCCCACTCGTGGTCTCTCCCTGTCTTTCTCTCACTCTCTCAAATAAATAATCTTCTAAAAAATCATCAGGAACAATGTAACTGTTCACTTCAGAAAAATCATTTACTTTCTTCAGGAAAATTCTGTCATTAAGTGTCCATCAGTATTGGCATAATTCAGAACACATACGTTGTTGGGGTGAAAATGTCCTGGCCATGTGTACAGTTACTGCTTCCAAGTGACCGTCTCTACTGCAGTGTCAGAACTGCTGGAACTCCTTGCCCCGCCCTGACACCTTTCTTCTTTCTGACAGGGGGCAGTACCCAAAGGAAATGCCACTAAAGAATTCATCGAGAGTTTACAGCTGAAGCCTGGACAGGTGGTGTACAAGTGTCCCAAATGCTGCAGCATCAAGCCCGACCGAGCCCACCACTGCAGGTACACATGTGTCCCCACTCCTCATCGCCCCCCACATGTACCCCCAGCTTGCTTCCTCCCTTCTCTCACCTCTCACATGCTCCCGCACCTGCTTCTCACTCGGGTGCCATCAGCAACAGGACTTCTGAATTTCCCCTGTTCTGGGCACGGAGTGGCTGCTGTGACTATCCCCCCATCCCGACCCCCGGGGAGCTCACTTAGATTGGAGAGGGCATTTGGTTCCGGCTCAGGACACCTGTCCTAAGACTTGAATCTCCCACACCTGACGAAGGACCCTGCCAGGCCCTTGATTGTCTCCGGCTCTTTTTCCATATCTGTAAAATTAAGGGGGTTCCTGCTCTTTCTGCCTCACAGTTTTATTACTTTAGGTCACAAGAGAGCTTTGGAAAATCGTTCAGAGTGTTCAGTACTTGACCCATTTAAGAGGTGGGCCCTATTCCCTTAACTTTCAGAGGGAAATGAAGGGACTGTGCCTGAATGAAGATGTTTCTTTAAAACAAAACTGGAGGTTGTGACAGTTGTAGAGTCCGGCCAAAAAAAGCCATTTCCTCATCTCATCTGTGGTGGTTTTTCCCTTTGGTTTTCAGATTTCTTCATTGTTGTGAGTCTTCTCAACAAGAAGACATCTAGCTAAAAACTGCATTTTATTACAAGGGAATTTTAAACGCTACATTACAGAAAGACAAACATGTTACTTGGTCCTTCTCTCAGGCTGGTGGGGGAGTGGGTAGTGGGAGGAGCTCACAGCTAGTGATTTCCACAGACAGACTTGGGGCCCAGTGTGTGTGCTCCTTTCCAGGGCTCTTCCCACTAGAACTCCAGTTTGGGGGTGACCTGTGTGGCCTGATGTAATTATATGTATGTCTTGCTATCAGAGAGAGAGAGAGAGAGAGAGAAAGGTGGTGACCCCCTCAACTTGTTGGCCTCTAGTGAGAGTGAGGGCTGAGCAGCTTGGACAGAGCCTGTGCTGATTGCTGTCTCCCATGAGGTGTCCAGCAGTTTGGAGAAGCGGAGTTTCTCTGCACAGAGCCCACCATGGGGTCAGTTTACCTCTGAGATCTGTGTTACAGACAAACTCAAGGCTTGCTTGTGCCTGAGGTGGAGGCACCTGTCTTGCCTTTTCTGCCACCCGAGACGTTGTCATCCCCTGAGTAAAGAGGCCCCAACTCCGGGCAGCCCAGTGTGGTGGAGCAGGCTCCCACTTCACTCAGAGTTGGAGAGGTCAGCGCTCAGAGTCCACCAGTGCTCCCACCACGCTGTGAGACGTGGAGCAGGCTCCCTCTGAGCTCTGCGCTGTCCTCTGCGAAGGGAGTTGTTGCTTGGCAGCTTGTTGTGAGGGTTAGACATGAATAACTATATGAGTCAGCTGGCTCCCCCAGCAGAAGCCACTGGTTTGTAGAAGTGTGTGCATGTGGCAGGGCGAGATGGGTTTATAGGCTGGATCAGCAACAGGGAGGTGCGAGCTTTGCAGGAAACAACTTTCTGGTCACCACAGTGGTTCTTTCTCTTTCCTCCCTGAACCCCGGGCTGCCTCCACTGCCTGGCATTTTGCTCACCGCCTCCTCCTCGCCTCTCTCCCCAGGATGATCCGAGGGAGGTATTCTTGAATGCTAGTAAACAAATCAGCTTCAGCAAAACAAGAGCTGCTGATTCAGATGCAGTTGAGTGAGGATGTCTGTGTGTCGCCTGCTCCTGCATCAGGAAGTGTGTGCTGACAACTGCTCCTCTGTGAGGGCTCGTGGCGACCCAGGCCATCTGGGAACCCATGGTTTGGGATAAGCCGATCCCCAGCATGCCAAACAGAGCTAGGTTTGTGACTGCTGGAGCCAAGGGGCCTGCTGCCAGGCTTGAGAGCGTCAGTGTCTGTCTCCCTTCTGGGGCGAAGGTGCATGTCTGCGTGCATGAGCACGCACCTGGCTCTTTGGATCTTTTTTTTTTTTTTTTTTTTTTTTCTCTTTGGATCTTGTCCTCCCAACAGAGTCCCATGGAATTTAAAACTATCCCCATTCCCTGAGTTCTGATGGGTACCACAGACACTCCCTGACCCTGGATGGGTAGATGTTGACCCTGGATGGGTAGATGTTCTTTCCAGCCTGGTGGTTGGTGTGTGGATGGATCCTCTTTCCACCAAGAGACACTCTGGAACTCCGGGCTGCTTTTGTCCTGGCATTGAGAACCATGGAGGAATGTGGAAACCCTGTAGAGGGAGCTATTCTTGCTAATTAAGACAGCAAGGCTTATGCACTAGGTTCCTCTTGCACAAGGAGGTGGAAACCATGACCCTGGAAAAGCCTCACACCCCTCCACACTCCCCACCCCTCACACACACATACACACTGAGGCTGAGATGGTCATGGGGTGCTTAGGGTCCCTGCTAGATTCTCACTTTGTCTCTCTCATGGTTGTTACCACCGATAAAATTTATATAGCGCTAGCAGTATTTTTAAAGCATTTCACCTGCATCATCTCTAACCTTGAGAGATCAGGACTAATTCTGCAGAGAGCGATTCAGAGAAGCTAAGTTTCTCTGCCCAGGGCCCAACATGGGGATCTAAGAGCAGTGTTCTTACTGCTACACTGGACTTCCTTACCCAGAATTGTTGCTGAGCTGGGACCAAGATGTGGTAGGTGCTTTTTTGCTTATAATTTGTTAATCACAGTGAAGGAGGTGTGGGATGAAAATCTGTGTACAGAGTATGGTCCACTTGGTGTCCTCTTGCTGTGCCTTTTTCTCTTGCCCTGCTGGGCCTCCCAATCTGATGTGGTGGAGCCACTTCCCAGGCTGCCTCTTTCTCTGCAAAGGAGGTCCTGGGCTTGGCCCTGGGCTGTAGTGGTGGATTAGACATGGCCCTGACCCTGGAGCTTCCCACTCAGGTGGGGCCAATGCACTTTCCCACCCTGATACTGTTTGGTAAGTGCTCTGTAAGGAGATACACAGGCCCTCACAGATACAGCTATGTTTCCGTGGTGGGCCATCACCCCGGCTTGGCCCAGGGCCTCAGCCAGCTCCTTTGGGGGCTAAGAGCCACAGGCCCAAGCGCCTGTGAGCCGATGAGCTTGTTGGAATCCACCAAGCTTTTGAAGGAAGTGCTTCCGGGCCTGAAAAATGGCAGGGAACCTGGAGGAAGAGGGAAGGAGAGGCACTGCCCTCTTCTAGAACATTGATTAAAAAACACAGAAAGGGTTTGGGAAACCCCAAAGTCAGGGACATCAACAGACGCCTACATTGAAGACCTTAGGGCTGTGCAGCGACTGTTCCCGCAGGCTTAGGACATACTACCAGGCCCCCGGTGCCCGTGGCCCCAGGAGCTTACCAGCCCACAGCTCTCACACGAGGGGCAGCAAGTGGTGCCCGAGAAGAGTCCCAGAAGAGGGCCAGCGCACTCAGGAAGGAGCGGAAGGAGGTCAGAGAGGAGAGGTTCTCCCCAGTGGCAAGAGTGGGGAAAGCGCCCTCAGCTCCTGTGTCTGGGGAGGGGACCGCAGAGCCATCCTGCCCACGTAGTCGCGTGGAACAGGAAAAGGGCTGGCTCTGAGGTGACGGATTCCCCACCAGGGTATCTGGGGGTCGTGGGAGGCCCACAGCTTTTCTTCCTCGTGACCGTTGGTGCCCAAGGTGAGGCAGCTGGATGGGCTGCGGGGCTGGCCTCACCTCTGGTGTACTCCAGGTCTCAAATGCAGAACCGTTGCAGCTGGTCGTTTTGTAAGCCGTAGGCGAGACAGCCCCTGGTCAGGACCTCTCGCCACGTTCATGGATGGACCCCCCACCCACATGCACCCTCGCCTGACCCCACAGCCTGCTTCTGAACAGCTCCACACGCTGCGGGGAGGACCACCTGGGCGTTCCATGTCTTTGCAGGCCGGTAGCTCAGAGCCTGGCACTCTGAGCCGGCTTCTACAGCTCTCAGCAGCTGTGCTTGCTTGTCCCTGCTGCTCCTTGGAGGAGGAAGAGGAGTGTTCTGGCATGGCCGCCCAGTGACACGTAGCCCATTGTGAAACTCACTTCCTGGGGTGCCCACTGGGTCTCTTTAGAGGCTGAGAGGAGAGCACAGGATGGATTTGCTTAAGAGCTTGTTGAAACTTGGGCAGCCTTTAGAGGATGTCAGGCCACTTGGCACATCTGTGCTGCTGACCAAACACTGCTTTAGAGCACCCACTTAGAACCCCCTTGCAGGAAGAAGCACAGGTGGAAGAGAAACCAGTCAGGAGCCCAGAGCAGGAAAGGAGTGACCCTTGGAGTATGGTCCCTAGATTGGGAGGGAGCTAAGACCCCAGAGCTGAGAAAGGACATGCAAGGTGACTCTGCAGAGGGAATGTGGGGCCTGGTGGAGGGAGCAGCTCAGTCTTCACTGTCTACTTGTCTGTACTCTTAAAATTCTATCCTGGGAACAAGTGTTATCAACTGAAATCTGTAGTATGCATATTCATATGTAGTTTTAATTGGTAACATGCATACAGAGAGAGATGGGTACCTGACTTTCTCTTTATATCCCTCCGTGTCCCTTTCATGCCTCTTTCTTCCCCTGTCCTTCTGGCTCCCAGGAAGATTATAGAGCTGGGCCAGCATCTCTAAGATGTGCTCGTTCCCCCTATGCTAGTGAGGACCTTCGAAGTTGTGGAGAAGAACGAGGTGAAGATTGGCCAGGCCCCCGTGATCAGTTCTCACCTTGTGCTTCCAACACTTAGTTCCTGTGAGTGGGGAACTTGAAGCTCCAAGTTTGGTCAGTCTGACCAAGGTAGCTCAGACCCAAGCCTACCTTGCCACCAAAGCTCACGCCATGCTCAGAAAAGGTCACAGGTCCTCCTTGGGGTGTGGATGAGCCCACAGCCCCAAGTCAGCCATGGCCTCGCCATGGGGCTCTCATTCAGAGTGGTCTGTGCTTCCTGGCCTGCAGTCTGGGGAGCACCTAAACTCCATTCCCAGAAGAGCTCCTCCTGTGCTTTCCCTGCCCTGACAGTCGCCAGAGCTCAGTGAGTGTGAGCTCACCACGTGTGAATGCGACATAGTCCTTCCACCAGCATCCACCTGTCATGGCCCACAGTGCACTTAATTAAGAACCCAAGGTAGGGCAGCCCTGGTGGCTCAGTGGTTTAGCGCCGCCTTCAGCCCAGGACGTGATGTGATCCTGGAGACCCGGGATCGAGTCCCACATCAGGCTCCCCACACGGAGTCTGCTTCTCCTTCTGCCTGTCTCTGCCCCTCTCTCTGTGTGTGTGTCTCTAATAAATAAATAAAATATTTTTTTAAAAAATTAAGAACCCAAAGTAAAGTTAGTTGTGGAAACGGATGGAAAGAAAAGCTAGTGTGAACTAAGGGGCTTCCAAAAAAGAAAAGTTCCTAATTGTATTCTTTCCAAGCTTCTATTTATAGTATTTTAAACTGTTCTGAGCAGATAACAACCTCAAAATAATGTCAAGGAGCCTATGTTAGCAAATTGAGAAAGGACCAATTTCTGGCGAGCCCATCTATTGGCAAAGGAGTGTTTCTAAACCTGAGTTTTGGGGGTAGGTGCTTTCAAGGCCCTGTGAGCCTGTATTCCTGTTTCAGATTATTTCTTCCAAAAAAGGGGCGAGGAGGGTGTTTGGTAACCAATAAACTTGAAACAGTCTCAGTCCCAATATGAGCCCAATTACAAGTTAGTAATTTGCAAATTAATGGCATTTCTGATCAACACTTACGCTCAAATATATTCTGCTTCTGCAGCTAAGAGGTTGTTATCTTAGAGCTGGAAGGTTCTTGAGGGGCACTTCCCGTCGACCTAGACATCCTGCACTTGAGCCCGCTTTGCCTTCTGCTTTGCCTATTCCGGCGCCCTCTGCGGTCAGCCACACCCTCCCTGCTAGTGCCCAGCCCTTGGGTTTTGGGTCTTCGGGGGATGTTGGGAGCAACTGTTTTCTGTATCCTATCTCGGACTGTCACGTTGTGGAAACTGCTTCTTCGCTCCATCCTGTCAGTAAACCGGATTCACAGCTCTCCGTTAGCACCGGAGAGCAGCCTCTTGCTCAGCCCCTCAGTTCCACCCTGTTTCATGTTAAACGTGAAGGGGCCTCGTTGACATAGGACTATCCCCTGTTTGGAATAAGTGTGACCATGGGGGTCCTGACCCACCTTCCAGGCCCCTTGCAACACGCCCAGTGGGACAGCAGGTAGTGCCCAGGAGGCCCCGTGCACGGAGTAGAGCTAGGGGGTGGGTTCTCTGCTCTCCTCGGGCCCCTGCTGCTGTGAGGACACCCCTAAAGGTCTGCCTTGTGGGCCCTTTCAGCGTTTGCAAGCGGTGTATTCGGAAGATGGACCACCACTGTCCGTGGGTCAATAACTGTGTTGGCGAGAACAACCAGAAGTACTTCGTCCTGTTTACAGTAAGTCAGCTTCCGAATCGCGCCCCACCTCCGCGGAGCCATGGGGTGCTGTGGTCCTTTGGAAATTCTCGGCACTCACAGTGTTTTTTGCTGCTGTGCGGAATATAGCCTGGCCTTCCTCTGCCTTCCTCCCAGAGCACTCCTGCCTGTTCCTATGCCCTCCACTTGAGCTTCTAGAAAACTGGCTCAAGTTGATTGGTTATAAGCAAGGGCCTTGTACTGGGCTCCCCTCCCAAGAGTCCAGTCTAAGTAGCTACAGAAGCCCATTTGGGTGGTGATTGCAAGCCCTCCCTGTGAGTAGATAAAGAGAATATTTAGCACAAGGGCTGCAAGAGCCCTTGGCAGTCAGCACCCAGACTTTTCAAGTGAAGGGAAGCCACAGGCCTGGAGCACCCTGGCCCACCTAGGGCCCAGGTCACGCCTGGCGACAGGCGCTGGCTTCTATCTTATTCCACATACTACTAGTAAGTGCTGCTCACCCCAGTCCCAGAACTGGGATGGGAGACCAGTAGAGGAATCACCAGGTGCCTCTCTGGCTCTCTCCTGGTCAGCCCTCAGCCAGAGTGTTCCGGAACGGGAGGTTCTGAGCGCCCCTGTCCCGGGAGCCTGTACGGTCAGAAGGTTCTCACAACAATGGCGTCTGCACTGCTTTCCTGTTTCAGATGTACATAGCTCTCATTTCCTTGCACGCCCTCATCATGGTGGGATTCCATTTTCTGCATTGCTTTGAAGAAGACTGGACAAGTGAGTATGTGCCGGAGCCTGCCTCCCTGCTCCAAGGGGCGGTGTGCGACCCAAGCAGGGCGGGCTCTTGGTTTGTGTCATGGTGCCAGGGGCCAACCCCATTTTATTAGATCTGCTGCAAGCCTACGGACTGACCAGGGAAGGGACAGCAGAGGCCCGACTCTCTCTTCATGAAAAAAAGCAGCCCCTTAAAGTCAGTTCCACAGGTAAAGTAGTGAGTGGGACAGACCCTCTAGCCTGAGGGTCCCCAGGGGAAATGCAGGCCCCCACAGGAAGCACGTCCCAGGGCACGGGAGCCCTGCCATGGAGAGAACCTTTGTCTCCTTGTCTTTAGGAAGAGGCACTTTAGGGGCACCTGGGTGGCTTAGTCGGTTGGGCATCTCTTGATCTCAGCTCAGGTGTCATGAATTCAAGCCCCACATTGTGCTCCATGCTGGGTGTGGAATCTACTTTAGAAGGAAAAAAAAAAAGAAGAGGCACTTTAATCAAAAGTCATTTCATTCCAGTCTCACAGAAATCCATTCTGAACTTTTGATTTTTGTGTGTGTGTGATGGTTTCTTAACTGCTTAATTACCGATCTACATTAAGGTGATAGAGCAGCTCTCCCTGCTGTAGTGGTATCCATTTCAGTGCACAGGCACTGAGCAAGGAACCCCAACCAGAAGGCCACACAAATCCTGAGGGGAAAAAAATAGCTGCTGTGAAAAATGAATGCAGTTTTATGATTTTAAACAAGAATAAAAATAAGAGAGAAGTAGATGCTGGAGGAATTGAGAGGCCACATGCTGGGCAAGATCTCTGACACACACAGTCTGTGAGACAAACGCCTGGAGCGGAAGCATCAGGCTTTGAATGAAAATCACTCTTTTTCATTTCACCATCTTTTAGAATTGTGCCCTTCCTATATGTACTGTCTTCTTGGGCACTATCTTGCTGTTCTTGTCCTCCAGAACTGGTGAGCCCGTGGGAAGGACGGGATCTTTAGCTCCCCTCTGGATGTGAAGAGGCTGGCCCCGTCCCCTGGCCCGTCTGGCCTGGCCTCACCTGGGGGGGGTGGGCGGGGGGAATTGAACCCCATGAGTCTCAGCTTGGGCTGCCATGACAAAGTGCCACAGGCTAGGTGGCTGGCATTCCAATCTCTCACAGTTCTGGAGACTGGGAGGTCCACGATCACGGTGCCAGGAGATTTTGTTCCTTGGGTAGACTCTCTGCCTGGCTGGCAGACAGCCACCTTCCCCTCGTGTGCTCACATGGCAGAGAACAAAAGCAAGCTCTCTGGGGCGTCTTCTTGTTTAGGCACTAATCCCATCCTGGGGGCCCCATCCTCCTGACCTCAACCTAATCCTCACTACCTCCCAAAGGCCCCATCTCCATATAAAATCACCTGGGGGTTGGGTCTTCCACATATGAATTTTGCGGGTGACAGCAGTTCAGCCTGTGTCACCGTGTCTCCCAGTTTTTGTGACTCCTGCAGTTCTAGAACCAGCCAGAGGAGGAAACTCTAGTAGGCGGATAGTATGGAGAAGAGTAGGGGGCAGGAGGGTCTGGCCCAGACCATTCTGCATAACTGGGCAGGGCACCAGCACATTCCTTGGTGAACATTCTCAAGGTACATGCATCCCGCTAGGCGCTCCGCTCCAACTCCAGATGTGGCCTTGGCAACTTAACAGTGGAGTCTGACAAGGACATTTTATCAACCCCATCATTCCCCCCACCTGCCACTGTCAGGTTAACAGTGATAAGAGTGACCTGGACCATCTATGAGGCGGAGTGTCTCTTGTCTTCAGAGCATGGCCAGCAGGGACCATTTCATTCATGCCCATTAAGAGCCAGCTGCAGTGCACAGGGCTTTTTGAGCAGTTCCTTATTTCAACCTTACAACAAGTCTGTGGGGGGCAGGAGGGATGCTCCCACTTAGTAGATGACAAAAGCTGGGGGTCCCAGGGGTCTAACAAGTCCCCAAGCTTACATATCTAAGAAGAGGGCTGTTATTCAAGCCCTAGTCTGGAGCCAGCTTTTCCAGCCCTGCCTGGATGACCCCAGTGCCCAGGCTCCTCCCTGAATGCTCTTGATTGTCATCAGTTGGGATTCCTGATGGAAGAGGCATGAGGCACCCAGTTCCTGTAGCAGCTAGGCCAGGACAGTCCCCAAGGTGGAAGCCTGAGGTTGGCCCATTGTGACAGTTAACCACCATCACTGCTCAGCCTCACATCCAGCTTGTGTAAGAAGGGGAGGGGGTGTCCCCAGAATCAGGGCACTTTGACTTGAGGTTTGAAGAAGGGTAGAGGGGTAGTTCTACACTCCTGGGCTCTGGCTCCTGCCTCCCCAACTCCATTTACATAGTTCCCAGGGCCAGTCGAGGAGGAGAAGGGTATGTGTAGCTGTGTGAGGGTGGAGAGCACGCCATGGTGCTGGGCTCCGCCTCCTGCCCGGCCCCGGGGCAGCCAAGGTGAGGACAGAAGGAGCAAGGCGCCTCTTTCCAGTGGGCACCTGCCATGTGCACATGCGGGGCCCCGGGATGACCTGTGCAGATGTTCTCGCGTGTTCTCAACCATGCCACCCAACGTAAGGGAGAACTAAAGTTCAGAGAGCCCCGGCCTTGTGCCCACATTCCTTTGTTACCAGGCACTACTCCAAGTCTGATAGTCCAGCAGGGAGCCAAAGTCCCGGCCTTCTGGGGCTGGAGGTGTGGTGAGCAAGGCAGTCAGCACGCAAGGACGGGAACAAATGCGATTCCATGGCGTGTGGGGTGGGAAGGATGCAGGGGCGAGACAATATTAGTGGGGGCTTCTTAGCAAGAGCCCATGGTGGGGAGTTGGCTCCAGGATCCTCACCCTGCTGTGGCTGCCTGACTGTGGAACCCTCATCCTGCCCACCCTGCCCAGCACCCAGGAAGGCAGCTGCCATACCCAGAACCTCCCGAGCTGGCCCCACCAGGCCCTGCCAGCAAGGAACCCAGAAGGGAAGGCATTTACAGGCATTAAGTCCCAAGGGAGGCGTGAGGTGATAAAGGCATTTGGATGAGATTGTCCTCACCACCACCCCCCATGTAGGGCTGCTCAGGAGAGCACTGAACCCCCAGGTTCCAAGTTCCCAAAGCCCAGTGAAGCCCAACCCCCCCCCCCCCAATCAGACCCCTCCAACCAGGGCAAGGGGCCCGAGAACTGGGGCAATGAGAAACATGCACAACCGGACTAATGGGTCGAGGTGGCCATCAGTGGGGTCCAGGGTCCTAGGGTAGTGAGTATCATCAGCTGGGACCCCCATCTCCCAGTGTTGTCCACATTCCCCCAGGCAGTCCCTCTGCCCTCCCCCACCATCACCCACAGCACCTCTGCTTTGCTCTCCATTTGGAGGTGCTTCTGATTTAGACTTGGCCCAGACGGAGGTTTCTGCTGCTTAAAACAGAACCACCCATTTCGTCCAGCCTCCCTGCTCTACTGAGGAGGGGGCAGAGGCCTGGGCGTGGACAGGGACTTGTATCAGGTCACACCCCCGGCAGCCTGGGCCCAGAGAGGCCAGGAGAGGGAGAGCACCTGCTCTGGGTCCTACAGCTCTCCGGTTGGACTGACCATCTTGTGATCCAAATGTTCCTGGGAAGGGCATTTCCCCTGGGGCTTATTTCACCCCCAGCTCAGGCCCAAGGCCAGCAGCTGAACTGCCCCCTCATAAACTTCGAATCCCAAAACCCCTGAGCGATTCTCTGGACCTGGCCCCTTCCTGTCACCCAGAAGCAGACAGAGGTGTAGGAATGTCCAGAAAATTCATGGCCAAACCAGAACCACACCGAGGCACCTCTACCTGTGCAACCATGTTGTGCTCTTTGTGGAGAGGAGGGTCTCCCTGTCTTCATGCCTCAGACCTGAGGCCTTTCTGGGGCCTTCCATGTGCCTGACACTGTGCTTGGCACCAGGATACAGATGCTGGCTGAGAAAAGAGCAAGGGATAACAGGTGTGAGGAGGGGAAGCCCCAGGAGGGGCCTGGCCCTTGGAGAACCTGCCCGAGGGCAAGCTGTGCAACCAGGTGTGGGGCAGGACAGTGGCCGTCTGGGCCTAGACACCAGACACGTGTGGCACCCGGGAGGTGCCAGGCCATGCGGGGCTGGGGGCATTGAGTGGCATGCAGTGGGCAGCGGCCAGCAGCCCCAAGTCTCACGTGTCCCTTTCCTTTCAGAGTGCAGCTCGTTCTCGCCACCTACCACAGTGATCCTCCTCATCCTCCTGTGCTTCGAGGGGCTGCTCTTCCTCATTTTCACATCAGTGATGTTTGGGACCCAAGTGCACTCCATCTGTACAGATGAAACGGTACGTGGGCAGCCTGCCCACCCCATCCACTCCTGGGCTTGGGGGGAGGCCCTGGGGCAGGTGTTGCTGGGAGGGGTGTGTGCAGGCCAGACCTGTGACCAGGGCCAGGTGTGAGGTGTGCAGGGCGCAGGCCTCCATTATAGTGACACTGGATCTTACACACACACACACACACACACACACAGGCCCACACCCACGCACATACTTGAGTCTTCCCTTGGGGCAGGCCCAGCAGGTCACAGCAGGAATGGGGCCTAGCAGCCTTGGTGAAGGGTGCCCTTTGCCAAAAGTCCTTCCATCCTCCCATTATGGTTCTATCTTCTGCGCACTGCCATGTTAGGCACTCTACCGGGCACAGGGACACCCTTCCCTTCCCCTCCAAGGACTAGAGGCCTGGAGAGAGGATGATGAACAAAGGGTGCCTTAATCCAGCTGAAATGGGCAGGGTCAACGTCCTAAAGGAGGTGGCCGCATGAGTAGGTCCAGAGGGCAGAATCAGGAGGCAGCCCCGAGCTGTGGGCATCAAGCCCTCACCTGGCCACTAGATCCCTCCGCTTGGCCCAGCTCTGGTTCTCATCCATTGCCTTCCCCCCACCCCCACCCTTACCCATACCCACAATTCCTTCTCTGTAGACTTCGAGGCTGCTGGCTGGGAGGACTGGAGCCCACTCCCCTGGTGCCACTGCCACCACCATTGTCTGGCTGCCCTAAGTGTCCAAAAGCCTCAAGGTGGTCAATCCATTGCTGTGATGTGGGCATTTCTTCTTTTTGGCTTTGGGTTCCAGGTGAGGAGCCCCAAGAGGAAGAGGTAGCACTTAGTTTGGGGAGCAGAGGCATGAGGTCCTGGCTTCCCAAGGTCCCCCTCAGGTGGCAAATCTCAGTCATCCAGGGGCTCTGTGGGACGGCTTCGGGCCTGCAGATTACTTAGTCTCAGATGGAGGCTCGTAGGAAGACAGACTCCTTGCCACTGCCCCCCAGGCCCTTCCCTGGGGGTGTGGAAAATCAGGGGTTTGGCGCTTCTCAGCAGCAAGGCGCCATCTTTTGGATCCAGGGAAATTCCCGATGGTTTCGAATGTTGGGGGGGCTCTCAGCAACTTTTATACCTTTTTTAAGAAGTAACATCATTGTAAGAGTTTCTGTAACAATAGTAGCCAATGGTGTAGATCTGGCTATGTGCCCAAGTGGTAAATGTGACCAGCTTCTCTGCCTAAGACCCGCAGGGAACCCATGGGTGACCGTCTGGCCCCGCCCACTGTTGCATACGGCCAGGCCACACAGGCCTTGGGCTCAGGGAGCCAGAAGGAAAACTCACACAGCCCTGTCCTAGCTGTCCTCCCCCTTCAAGGCCATTCCTAAAGGGAATTGTGTTGGAAAGGAAAGCAGAAAAGAAGGAAGGGCTTGTCTTGGGAAAGCGCATGGACCCTCCGCCTGGACCCTCCCCGCTCCCTCTCCGTGAACAGAGACTCCATTTAGGCTGGCCCCTCCGGCTCCTCCCTGCTCCTCCTCCTCCTCACCAGAGACCACGGCAGACAGATCCTCAGCCAGGCTCCTGCCAGGCTGCTTCCCTCCTGTTCCTCTGGGCAGCACCACATCCTCAGGCCCTGCCCACTGACCAGCTCCATCAGAAGAGGGGCGAAGGGAGGGAACTGGCTTCCTCCCTAGCTTACTTTTCCCGTGAGGCTTAGTGGGGGAGTAGTCCAGCCTGTGGACAACTACCAAGATGGCCTCTGCTCCTGCTTCTTCCCTGAGGAGCACCGGAAGACCCTTTGCCATGCCTGGGGCTGGCTGTCTGTCCAGGCAGCCCCTCTAACCTATACTAATCCCTTTCCTTCCTCCTCTGTGGTGGCTTCTCCCCTCACCCACGGTCTCCTACTCCTGTCTGGCCTCCTCAGGTTGGCCTCGCCAGCCCCGCTAAGCAGGGTGCTTCTTTGACCTCCCGGACTGGTAAGACTAACAATGCCAGAGCAGTCATTTGATTTGTTCCTTTTTTTTTTTTGTCTGCAAAGTGGTCATAGTAGTGCCAGACTTGAACCAACCCAAATCGAAGGCCAACATTAGCTGTCATGATCACGAGCCCCTGCCAGCCCTGAGGCTTCTTGCATCCAAGCCTTCACAGCATTCCTGCACACAGCCGGGCCCAGCACCAGGCCGGAAGCGCCTCCGCAGAGCCCAGTCTGGGTAGACGTGCTCCTCCACTTAGTGAAACACACTGGATCAGCATGCCCAGGAATCCTGGCTCTGCAGCCTGTGGATTTGCTCACTTTTCCCTCCCTGGAGGGACCTGTAAATATGTGCCCACCCCACCGCTACTACCACCAAAAAACAAAAACAAAACAAAACAAAAAACCACGCTTTTTTTTCCTTTGACACTTTTTATGAGAGAAAGAGAAGAAACATGTATCATATAGGTAGCTCTGTGGCTTGACAAGGAAGCATTTACTCCATTCATCTCAAGCTAACGGACATTCGTCCCCAAAATCCACAGCAATAAAGTGCTTGACTGAAAGTATGATTGTTCTTGTTTTCAGGGAATAGAACAATTGAAAAAGGAAGAGAGAAGATGGGCTAAAAAAACAAAATGGATGAACATGAAAGCCGTTTTTGGCCACCCCTTCTCTCTAGGCTGGGCCAGCCCCTTTGCCACGCCAGACCAAGGGAAGGCAGACCCGTACCAGTATGTGGTCTGAAGGACCCTGACCAGCATTGCCACTCAGACACAAACCACATCACAGCACTACCGTCCTGTCCGTTCTCACGAATGTTTAAATCGAGAAAAAGCAAACCAACTACTCTAAAACTTTTTTTTTTAATGTCTCCAGTAAAATGGCTGAGCATTGCAGAGAAAAAAAAAATGTCCCCATGTTTTATTTTTAAAAGATCATCCTATCTATTTTTTGGTGACCGAAGCTGCTCTTCTTTTTTTTCCTTTTTTAAAATCACTCCTCTGGCCTCTGATTTCCTCTCTGCTGTCTGTCTGGCCTGACTAACGTGGAGGGTGCTGTCTCCCGGCCCGCCTCTACTAACAGGGAGCCGTTGGCCGGTGCGTGGATGGACCGGCCTGGACGCCTGGTTAGGGATGCCTGGGAGAGGCAGGGGGGCCGTGACCTCCCGCTGCCCAGGAGGCAGTGGCAGGCGCCCCAATGGGACTTAAAGCGTCACCGAAGACAGATGCTTACCACCTTGTGACCAAGAGGGACGGGACCAGGGCCAGAGCCCTAAGTGGCCTCATCCCCCATGTGGACACAGTTTGCCTCCTTGTACTCCATGGGCTTGGGTGTGTAGAGTGACTTCTGGAGGGTGGGGTGGGATCAAAGGGGTCTTATTTGTATTCTGAATCACCAGTTATATTCCCGCTGATTATTTGGAACAGTATGAAGGAGAGAGTTTTTCCAGCTCAAAATGCCTTACACAGTCAAAAGGAGAAAAAAAAAAAAAAACACGCTATTTCAGGTTTTCTTTGTCTGCTTACTCTTAGCACCCCTCCCCCTCCATCTCCTCCTGCCCTCTCCCCCCCCTCACTCCCCCTCTCTCTCCCTCTCCCAGTAAGGTGGCCAGTCAGCTGCATTAATGCTGAGTGACACAACCACAGCCCCCAAGGCGCACAGCCCATCATCACCCCCCTCTGCCCCATTTTGTAAATCTCCAAAGTGGGTGCCCTTTCTGATGTTTTAGACACCTAAATGTGCACGTAGCCATGTCTTATCTGTATTTTAACCTGGGAGGCCGTCATCTGGCCCAGGGCTGACCGGGATGTAAGGTGGACATCGCGGCCCGCAGGCCTCTGCAAGCTGGCAGGTGGCCGTCCCGCTCACGGGAATGGGCAGCGTGGGGACTGAGTGGCCTTGCCATTTGGAGGCACGAGGCCTGAAGAGAGTGGGGAGATGAGGAGACGGACAGGGATGCAGACATCACAGACCTCGGAGTGCTGAGCATCTGTGAATTTGTACACGTGGATTTGAGTTTTTTAAATGATCACCACAAACCTCCTTTTTTAGCTTGTGCTGCGGGTGGGTGGGGAAGGTTTGTGAAGCTCAGTGCAGGATGGAGGAAATTCATCTAGCCATGTGATTCTCCATGAACAGTACGTGGAACATGCTGCCTCTTTTCGATTCTGTCCGTGCTTCCACATGGAAACAAAATGCAATAAAACTTTTCCAAAACCTGTCCTTGAGCCGTGCTCTCTCACAGCACTACCCTCGGGGAGAGCCGAGGGTCCGGGCGAGGCGAGCGTGTGGTGGTAGGGCCCTTGCTCCGCTGCCCTTAAAGGACATTTATTTCCGTTCCTCCTCTTGACCGAGGCGTCAGTTGTGTTGATTTTATTTATTTATTTTTTATTTATTCATGAAAGACACGCAGAGAGAGGCAGAGACAGGCAGAGGTAGAAGCAGGCTCCATGCAGGGAGCCCGATGTGGGACTTGATCCCACGACCCCAGTATCACACCCTGGGCCAAAGGCAGGCGCCAAACCGCTGAGCCACCCAGGGATTCCCAGTTGTGTTGATTTTAAAGGACGCATCAGCCACATGCCCTCGACCGAGCCTGCCCCCCACCCCCGCCTCTGCTTCAGGGATTCTGCTGCCTGAAACCCCCTCGGGAGCTCTGGGCTACAGAAAAGCCTTCAAGTCCGCAGCGTGGACTCTAGCACCGGCCACGGGGGGGGGGTCCCTTTCCCTCTCCCCACCCAGCAGAAAGCCGCGTGGAGCCAGAGGAAGTCGCTAGAACGTTCCAGTGCTTTGAGGCGCTCCTTCTCATCCCTCCCGTGTAACCAGAAAACTCCACAACCCTTCCTGAGGCTCGCCTCGCCTCTTGAGACCGGGCTCTTCATGCCCTAAGTCTAGCCTGAGACCTCAAGTGGTTTTTACTTTTTTAAGATTGTATTTTTATTTATCTGAGAGGCAGCACGAGCAGGGGGCAGAGGGAGAAACACCCCCTGCTGAGCCGGGAGCCCCATGTGGGCTCGATCCCAGGACCCCGGGATCCCAACCTGAGCTGAAGGCAGG